TGTTTTGAACCTTTGTCCTTTTTTGTTGGCTCTAAAACAGAAGCCGCAAACAAGGGCGCTCTTAGAGGGGAAACAAAGGCAGCAAGAATAGAGAATTATTTTCTAAAGCAAAGCAGATCATGTGAAAGGCCAGGTTGTTGTTCAACTTGGAGGCTCTTGAGTTTTGTGCATCACAAGCAATGTCTCTGTAAGCCCTGAATGGGCAGGGTTACTGCCGGTCAGTGCTGACCCATCATGTCTGTAGGGATACGGCTGTGTCCTCGGCAAAGCTTCTGGTTTACTTGCCCATGGATTTTGTGCTCTTACTTTCACCTGTGCTGGGCCAGAGTGCCCATGGCAACCTCAGAGTGAGGGTTACCGTCCACGGGGGAGGCAAGGAGGAGTCGGGGAACATGCTAGGGTTGTCCGGTGGTGTTGGCCTTGATCTCACTTTTATGTTAGGTGGTGAGCTCAAGGGTGTTTATTTTATCATTATGCTTCTTAATTTATGCTGCATGGATTTCTGGATTAAGAAGCCATCTGGATGGATCAAGAATTGCACTGATTTTTTTTTTTTTTTTTAATCCTGGACTATTTTGGAACACCTCTGAGCTGATTGTTTAACTCTTGCCTAACCCTGAGTCTGGAAATTCCAGGACTGTGTGAACTGCCCCTCTAATACACTTAGCTTCTCTACCCTAAGAAAACAGTCAGACCTTCTGGGCCAAACAGGAGTGGTTGGTTGTGGTGGTGGTGATAATGGCGATGATGAAGCTAGCAAGCTGATTGCACTCCAGTATGGTTAAAGCAAATAATGATATGCCTCTTCCCTTGTTCCAGGTTCTCTTCCCAATGGTTGGCATATATTATTCATTCATTTAATTTCCATCTCTATGTTACAGAAGAACTAGCTGAGAATTTGGGTGACTTGTTCAAAGCATACAGCTGATAAGTGGTAGAGCAGGGTTGGACCCCTACCACCCACATTATACTGCCCCCGAGAAGTCAGCCATCACCTGCAGCACCCACTCAAGCAATATGAGCCCAACAGGGCCCTGACCATCCGTAAGTGTGTATTAAGCCCCTATGTGACTCACATTTCTGGGATAACTTGCTCATCCCAAAGAAAGCCTGGCAGTCCCGGCAGTCCCTGTGGTCTGCCACCGCAGGCCACCCTCTACTTCTCCCTGTGCAGAAGGCCCATGGCAGCATTGCTGGCCTGGTGGCAGAGACCCTGTTCTTTATTCCCATATGCACCTGGCTCAGCTTTGCCCCCTGGCCAAAGCAGTCCACCCCTCTGGGATGGCCCACAGGCCTGTATTCCCACCTCACCCCTGAGCATGCAGTCAGAGCACACGAATCCTGGGCTCACCCAGCCACCTGAGTCAGGTAACTTTGTGTAGGTATTTCTCATAATCTTATTTGAATGGATTTTATCCAGAAATGCTACCTTACATTATCCAGAAATTACGGAACCTTTTAACCCAGGCTGTTTGGTTCTCAATGTCGGGCTCAACAGCCGATAGTTTCAGAACAGGCCTCTCCAAAGATGGGAATAGAATGAGGACTCTGTATTTCTCCTGACGTCCTGGAGTTACAGAACAGACTTTCCACTCTGCATGGCCTGTGCCACAGTGCAGACGGATTACTCCTGCAGATGCCCCTTCTTGTAAAGGCTGCAGAAGTGCCAGGGAGACAGCAGGGGAAGGCGGGTGCTCTTGCTGCTCCATGAGGCTGCGGGCCTGCTCAGCAGAGCTCAGGGAGTGCAGGTGGGGCTGCCCCGCGAGTTTCTGGGCAAGGGAGGTGCACTGTAGCCCTGCTGCTGTGTTCAGAGACGATCTTCCTTTGGCACTTTGAGTTGGCATGAGAGATCTTAAAAGAAATGTCATTCTCAATAGCAGCATGGCTTTTTTTTTCCTCTTAATTCTATGGGTCCGAATAATTTGGTTCTTATAGAAAGTGAGAGAGAGAAGGGTGGCTAGGGACATAGCTCAGTTGGTAGAGTGCTTGCATGCACAAGGCCTTGGGTTCAATCCCTAGCACCACCACCAAATAATAAAATAAAATAAAAGTGAGAGGCAGAAATAAGCCATGGAATCTTTGCTGACGACATTCTTCTCCGGCACACTGCTGCTCTCAGGCTGTGGAATATTCCACATCCTTAATAACCTGGGAATTGGCATTCCTGTAATTGTGCTTTCCACGTTTGGGATGGGACCACTGGGGGACGTGACTCCTGTTAGCACTTGAGATGGTTTCTGAAGGTACTGAACTACACAAAGAGCATCAGGCTACGTGATGAGAAAGTCCCTTTCCAGTCTTCTTTTCTGTCTTGGTTGTAAGGCAGACAAAGACTCTGTCTGGGGCGAGAAGATCCTTACTACTCTAACACTTGTCAATTTCCCCTTTGCAGCTGGGAGAGAGCAGCCCTCAGGCAGCTGAGTCCAACTAGAAACACACACAGCAGATTTTCATTGTTTTTACTTTTATGGGTACTTCCTATTTATGGCCAAAAATTCCATTTACTTGTGACACATTTCCTTTTTAAGTGTTAGATGTTAAACAGTGAGTTAATGGAAAGGAAAACGTGAGTAATAGATCTCCCAGTGATGCCAACAGTGCTAAGGCAACAAAACTGCTGGGTGCACTGAGTGGCACTCAACCGGGCATTACATAGACTCACCTGCAGGGGCATCTTTAAAGATCCTGTGAATCGGACTCCTGGGGATGGGGCCAGGCATCAGTATGTGACCCAAACACCCCAGATGTTTGCAGTGTGTCACTGAGGCTCAGGTTGCCGCCCGCCTGTGCTAGGACAGCATCCCCCTCGTGTCTCCTAGTAGCATCTGTCCCTTTTTCTCTCTCCTGCCTTCAGCATTTCTTCTCATCCTCTCCCCCACTTGAATTCTGCTCTGGTGTTTCCTCTCTCCCCCTGTTCCAGAGTGGTGAGCCATTCCTGTTAGCAATGACCTGCGGCGTGCCCTCTGATTTGAAGACTGTTGAAATCACTCATTTGCAACCATGTTAGAAAATCTCCACATCATACTCTCCCCTGCCCATCCTTTGCCCGTCCTAAGCCATTCGTCCAATTTCTTTGGGTTTTGTTGTCCACCCGTAACTTGTGTTAACAGCAATGATGATAACTGTGTCTGGGTTTTTAGCATGCTGGCTGCTGTTCTAAGCACTTAGCGTGTATGATCCTGCATAATGCTGGCCTTGCCAGCAGGTACAGTTTTTCAGATGAGGAAACAAGCACAGAGAATTGGAATGTCTTTCCCACGACCAGAAAGTGGCAGAGGCAAAGCCCACATTCTCAGCAGATGGAACCTCAAGCTGGTGGCTTATGATCCTGATTCAGTTGTCCTGGACCGCCATGAGTCACACCTCAGGAGACCGTTATCTGCAGCAATAATAAAATTGAAATTTGGATCCACTGTTTGCCTCAGTGGCATTTGGAATTGATAACTCTTTCTATTTTCAACTTAAGTGATAGTATCTCAGCAGGGAACCCACGGCTTTAGATCCCATCAAGATTTTAGCTCATCACCATGCAGAGGAGATCAGCCTGGAGTGATTTCGTGTGTGCTGCCATCAGGGCTATAAATTGAAGATGTAAAAGCCAGCACCTGCAATAACTCTGAAAATGGCAGGAGGCAACTATGGACCTCTTGGTGGCCTCAGTACGACTCTTCATTAGCTTATCTGGGATGTGACCTTCTGCAGCCCTCAGTGTTAGACACTCCAGGCATTTTCTGCCTTTTAAAAAGTATCAGAGTCTCATTCTGGTGTTTAATCAGAGTCCTTTGGCCCCTTTCCAATCATTGAGGGAGAGCTCCTTTTTTACACTCAAATTGTTCATCTTTGTAATTCTCAGGGTCGATGTTTTAGGAGATGAGACCTTCTGCCTGACATTAAACCTTGAATTCTCAGGCAAATGCTCGGGTACCCTGGGGAACTTGTGACCTTAATGTAGGTTTCCAAATGATGATGGGTCTTTCCTTTTAATTGCTTTTTTTGGGGGAGGGTCACTGGGAGTTGAACCCAAGGGTGCTTTACCACTGAGCTACATCTACAGCCCTTTTAAGTTTTATTTTTGCTTTGAGACAGGGTCTTGTTAAGTTACTGAGGTTGGCCTTGAACTTGGGCTTCTCTTGCCTCAGCCTCTTGAGTCACTGGGATTATAGGCATGTGCCACCGCGCCCAGCTTTAACTACTTTTTGACTCCAGTGTTAGTGCTTTTTAAGCTGGAATGTGCTTTGGGTTCATGTGAGGGTCTTGTTAAAGTGAGGATTCTGAGTAAATTTGAAGTAAGGCCTGAGATTCTGCATGTCAAATGAGCTCCCAGGTAAAGTGCTGGTCCCTGAACCTGCACATTGGAAGGCAGTTCTGAATTACAGCTGTCTACACCATTGGCTCCATCCATGCCACACAATAAAGTCACCAGGGGAGCTTTGAAAAACCAGTACTTGGGCCACATTCCTTAGATATTCTAATTTAATTTTGAGCATTGATGTAACCCCTCTCCCAAGTGATTCCAAGGTAGAGCCAGGGTCGGAATACACCAGCCTTCATGAAGAAAGAGACAACAACATCTAAGAGTTCAAGGGTGTGTGCAATGCCATGGACCAGGTTGGGCAGGTTGCCTGCATGTGGGGAGGCTGCCCCTTTTCTCCTAGAGAGCTATGAAGGTCACCTGGGCATCTTGTTAAAATGCAGGTTTTACTTCTGAGATTTGGGGTGGGACCCAGGCTTTGCAAGAGGCCCGCAGTGCTGCCAGTTCAGGCTGGTGCTGCCTGGAGGCTAGACCTAGACCGATGGGCCCACCCGATGTCCAGTATCAAAGCCGAGAAGGTGGCGGCAGCCTTCTCATGTTGAGGGTCAAAGTCTTCTGATTTTTATCTTCCTCCCCTTAAGCACCATCAGGATGTCCCTTGGACGACTCAGCTTGGTGTTGACACAGGACGCTAATGAATGCAGATCAGCCCTCTTTTTGTGACTTTTTCTTTCTTCTCTCTTCACAGTACGAGATGCAAAAAATCTAATCCCTATGGATCCCAATGGGCTCTCTGATCCTTACGTGAAGCTGAAACTTATTCCTGATCCTAAAAATGAAAGCAAACAGAAAACTAAAACCATCCGCTCCACACTGAACCCCCAGTGGAATGAGTCCTTCACATTGTAAGTGTGTCTCCTCTTCTAGATCAAACCCCATTCTTGTGCACCATGCAGTTCTCAATTTCATTATTAGAGATAATTGGCGGCGGGGGGGACAGTGACAAATGTCTCTACACATGTCCTCATCCTAATACCTCTCAGACTGCTGTTGGTGTGGATAGCTGTCATCACATGTTTGGGGCAAAGTAACTCAGTTTACCAGGAACTGCATGATGCCAGCCCCAAATAATTACCATTACTTATTCTGCACCAGGGGGAAAAAAATCTGTTTAAGGTATTACTGGTGATATAAAAGCATATAAGGTGTGTTCCACCGTTTGATGGACTTAGATTTTTTTTTTTCTTTTTCTTTTTTGTGGTACTGGAGATTGAACCCAGGGCCTTGCACTTACTTAGTGGCCAAGCACTTTACCACTGAGCTATATCCCCGATGCCCTGGAATTGGGTTATTTTCAGGGTTAGAAGAGGATGTGAGGCAAGAATTGAATAATTGTCACAACATAGAACAAGTGAAAGCACAGGAAGTGTCATCCCCACTGCAATGGGAAGGTAGCCTCACCTTTAAGCAGGGAAGGCTTCGCAGAGGAGATGACCTTGAGGTGGGCCTTGAAGGATTTCAGAAGTAGGAACGGTAGAAGGGGAAGAAGGAAGGAGGGAATGGGAGGAGGGAGTGAGGAAGTCAGGAATGAGAAGTGGCTACAGTGGAGCACCAGCAGGTGTATCTGTGGACAGCCAGAGACGGGGCTCTCCATTGTAGCAAGCCAGCGAGCTCTGCTCTGTAGGGCGGGAGTGTGTCTCCTAGACTGTGCAGGTCAAGTCTCTGTTGCCCCTGCACAGCTCTGACATTCCAGGGCCACAGCAGCCACAGACAGTATGTAAACACTGAGTTCTAATAGAACAAGCAGTGGCCAGCTTGGGCCCCTGGGCCGTGGCTGGCTAATCCCTAACCTAGAGCTCCCAGTGTAGGGCTGGTATTCTGTTGGCCAGGAAGAGACATGAATGTACTATTTCAGGCTCAGATCATGAGCATATGGTATCTCCCAAGAAAGCATAATCAAGATAACCCCGTGTGTGTGTGTGTGTGTGTGTGTATGTGTCTTTGTAGCAAACTAAAACCTTCAGACAAAGACCGACGACTGTCCGTAGAAATCTGGGACTGGGATCGAACAACAAGGAATGACTTCATGGGATCCCTTTCCTTTGGAGTCTCGGAGCTCATGAAGATGCCGGCCAGCGGATGGTAAGGACACCCTGAGACTGAGCAGTCCCCAAGCATCAGACCACTTTGAGATGCGGGAGACAGGCCAGTTTCCATCTCTGAACTGCCGGGTGGCTGCCTGCCCGCCTGGGCGCCGTCTCCCACGGGGCATTTCACCCACCACTCGACTAGAGATGGAAGGCCAGGAGCTGCTCGGCTCACGCTTACCTCCGCTTCTCTCTGTGTCTTTGAAAGGTACAAGTTGCTGAACCAAGAAGAAGGTGAGTACTACAACGTGCCCATTCCAGAAGGGGACGAAGAAGGAAACGTGGAGCTCAGGCAGAAATTCGAGGTGAGGATCTCAGCGAAACCTGGGGCCACCCCTTTCCTTTAGCTGGTGAAGCATAACTTCCGAGAGCCCCGGAGTCGTGTCGTTGAAGGGCAAAAGTAATTTCAACGTTCCACTCGTTTTCTTAATTGAAAAACATAAATGCTGCATGTAATTTCTTTCCTTTGCAAGTTGTTGGCCTTCTGTGTCCTTTGTCCTTTAGAGAATGGAGGTGGGAAATAGTGTAGAGAGGAGGGCATGGTCAGATTCGTGTTGCCGTCACCAAAATACCTGACAAGGACAGCTGAGAGGAGGGAAGGTTTATTTGGTTTACAGTTTCAGAGGCTCCGTCCATAGGCTTCTGAGTCCATTGCTTTGGGCCCACGGTGAGGCTGGACACCATGGCTGAATGGCAGGGTGGAGGAAAGCAGCCCAGCTCACGGTGGCCAGGAGGAAGGTGACCTTTATCCCAGGTCACTGCTTTTGATTTCTATTTCTCTAATCACTTTGCATGCTGCTGTTGTTTGAGGGCTTCTTATAGAAGCCTCTGCAGTCTGTGCTGGATTCTTTTTTGAGTCTTTCCATTCTTCAGACTAATTAGGATTCCCTGGAATTTCTGATCCCTAAGGAAAAGCATGCAAGTGTGTACAGATGCTGACTTGTTACAGGAGCGTTGACACTAATGAGTTGCTACTGGTCTTGTTCTCCTTATTCTGTTCTTCCCCAAAATACAGATAGTTCAGAACATTTAGGTTCAATTCCAAAGGAAGTGAAACATGAAACTTCTCAGATTATTTCATTACATCAATGCTTGGTTAAAATGGATCTGGGAAACACTGAAGGGCAGGGGCTATAAGGGTAGGTGCCCCCGGGTGCCTAATGAGTCACAGGTGATGTAGATCCATGGCAGCTCACAGCAGGTTGAGGGGTGAGTGTGACAGTAGGGAGCAATGGGGACTGGAGCAAGCTGGTGAACTTGAGCCCTGTGTCAAGGTGGCAGCCACGCTGCTCAGTGCTAAAGGATCATTCCTCCTACAGGCCCAGGCCCCGTGCTGCCCGCTGTGTGGCTCAAGAGAATCCAAAACTCCAGGCTTTTATATGGCATATTCTGATTTCTGTTAATGTTGGCAGCTAATTAAAACTTACAAGTCTGTGTAGGTCAAACATATATCTGTAGCTTTAGACACAGGCAGGGGTCAACCAGTGAGACCAGGCTGCGGTCTCTACTCTTAAAAAAAATATAGGAGGAAAAAACATAAATGAAAGGAAAAATACATCAAATGAGAAGAATACCGTTCTTTCCAAAGAAGCCTTATGACATTTGGAAGAATTCAAGTACCCAGACACCAGTCGGGGTGTCCCCAAGCACACCCTCACCTCCCGGTCTCTCTCTCTCTCTCTCTCTCTCTCTCTCTCTCTCTCTCTCTCTCTCTCTCTCTCTCTCTCTCTCTCTCTCTCTCTCCTCTGCTTGCTTGCACTCCACACCCTGCTGGGGTTGCAGGCCTGAGTCCCAGGCAGGAAGGCTGCCTTGATGCCCCTCCCAATACCATACCACGTATGATGGATGGATCCTTCTAGGGAGAGTGTCTTTTGGGAACACTGAGCACCAGTGGTACCCAGCTGTCTCAGGCAGAGGAGGAACCCGGGGAGCTAACAAGAGCTCTCGGAACTTCCTGTCCTCAAGCTGATCTGTCTGAGACCTCGCTTTACTGATAGAGAGATACCGGCCCATTTTCGCTGCTTCACATCCATGGTTTCCTAGGATGCAACCTTCCTGTTTTTCTGGGCAGTGAATCCAGCTTTTTATAAAGGTCAGCGTTCCAAGCTGAAAAATAAAAATAAAAACCACAGGCCAGAGGGCTTGAAGCTGAGAGCAAAAGCATTTCTCTTGAGGGACAGTTAGAGGCCGTGCGCGTTGCGGGTTGTGTGTCCCTCCTAGGAGAGCTGAACTTGGCGGCACAGCACTAGCCCAGGGCCCTGTGACCTCCAAGGACAGAGGCAAGGTCAGCAGAGTTAGAGGCAGAGCCCTGCTGTTCGGTCCCTCAAGGAGCACCTGTGTGAACTACACCCCAACTTTTTGCTCTAATCGTTTACTTTAGAGCATTTAAAGACCACCACCAGCCAGGCATAATGGCACATGCCTATAATCCCAGTGGCTCAGGAGGCTGAGGCAGGAGGATCAGGAGTTCAAATCCAGCCTCAGCAACAGCAAGGTGTCAAGCAACTCAATGAGACCCTGTCTCTAAATAAAATCCAAAATAGGGCTGAGGATATGGCTCAGTGGCTGAGTGCCCCTGAGTTCAATCCCTAATACCAAACAACAACACACACACACACACACACACACACACACACAGGAGACTATGCAGGAAGCCATTAGGTGATGGAGTCCAAAGGTGCCAGGGAGTTCATGACAATCCTCATGCTGCCTTTAAATGAAATATTCTGATCTGATTTTAGGCAGGCGTTCAATCCCACAATAGGATTTTGTTGAGGTCTATCAGTGTGGAAGTTGCAAACCTTCCCTGTACCCCAGTGTTGGGAAACCCTGTGCCAGGCCAGAAAGACTATAGTCTGCATTTGAGCTGTTCTGGGGGCAGCCAGCCTTTCCAAACAGGGACCAATTGGCATCTGGGTACAATTTAACTTCCACCCCATTTCCTCCCTCTCGGGGCTCAGACCCAGGCTCCCCTCTGTGTTCCCCTCTCTGCAGATAGTTACCGCCCTGGCTGCTTTTCTCACATCAGTCTTCTGGTCCTCACCCATTCTTTCCTCCTCTCCTGCCTCCAGTAGGAGATCCACTGTGGGTCGGGGCGGGGCAGGGTGGGTTCTGTGATGGATGGTTGCTGGATGAAGCTTGGCCTCAGCAGCCTTGCACAGAGGCTAGTCTATCTTCTTTCCTCATCAAGCTCTGTTTTCTAGAAAGCATTTACTAGCTGTGGTTTTTTGATGTCCATCCCCAGAAATCAAAAGTCATTCAGTCTAATGAAAGAAACATCAGAACCAATGAGCATTTACGCGCTCCCCACTGCACTAGCATTCATCGCATCATTCAGTGGCAAGTTCGTCAAATTTAAGTTGTTGACTCTAGAATCTTGGCAAACAGAAGGATCCGTGCGTGAAGCTCTTAGGAGCCAAGGAGAATCCCAGGATGGCTGGAAAAGCCCTTGCTCCAATGCAGGTCCTGCCAGAGCAGATCCTCTGCCTGAAAGGCGATGCAAACCAGAACCTCTCCTGTGATCTTCTTGGACTGTGTGTCCGTTCGCCTGTGACCTGTTCCAGGTTTGTCCAGACGAGGTGCACATGGTCCCTGGTCACAAACATGAATTATGTGTCTTTCCATTTCTTCACTGAGGTTCCAGCATGAGCAAAACAAACAGTCCCCACTTCCTGTGGAGCTTGCTCTGTCCCTGTGGACCCTGCTTCTTACCTACTTGGGGATGGAGCAGGAAATTCATTGAGCATATATTATGTTCCACACTGGTGAGCACTTCCCCGGGGCCTCCTGGGGCTTTTGAGGACGACCAGGATTCCTGACTTTGCCCTGGCTCTGAGTCTCTGCTCCCCACCATGCGACTCACAGCCAAATTTTAGAAATGGATCTGCCTTTCTTTGGAGGTGGTCCAGAGGATGAGTTTGGGGCTCGACAAATGTTCTCTGTAAAGTGTCAGGTAATGATTGTTTCAGGCCGTGTAGTGTCTGCTGTAATGTGCCAACTCTCCTGCAGCAGCTCAAAAGCACCAACAGACATAGGTGACAGATGAGCATGCAGCGTTTCAATAAAACTTTATTTACAAAAGACCAGATTTGTCATGGACCAGTCTGCCAACCTGGTGTAGCCCATGAACCCTGGAATCCAATCCTGGTTTTGCCCATAATTAACTACATAACCTCTCTGTGCCTTAGTCTCGTTACCAGGATGGTGATAATAGCAGTATTTACTTAATAGAGTTGTATTAAAGATTAAATTAAGTAGTTAGTAGAAAAGTCCCAAAAGGATACTTCTATACAAATGTTGGCCCTTCCAGTAATCAAGATCATTGTCAATATATTTCATTGCAGAAACTGGCTAATTATAGGTCCTTCTTTTTTTTTTTTTAACTTCTGAAGTTTCCCTGAAAAATGATAAATTTTCATGTTGAAATCATGCTCTATTTAAATAGTGGGCATGCTTTTGGCCCTATATTGCAGCCGTATTATGAAGTTGAGGCATGTCAATGAGAACCTTATCACCATTTATGTTTTTATGGGAGAATATATCCTGATTTAGATGCAGACAGCTTTCTGGGATAAATCTGTTATAATTTGGGGACTTTCTGCGTCTGGAAATGCATCAAACAACGTCTGAGCAAAGCTTGTCACAGAAATGAATGTGATTCCACATGAGATGTCAGCTGCACTGACACTTCAGCATTCACTGGTGTGGCATAGGATCCTGATCAAAGACTCAAAACCAGGACCATCTGGCAGATGATTGATTGATCTGAACCACACAGAGAACAAACACAAATGTGACCATAATGGCGGTAGCAACCAATACCGATTCCATTCCCAAGAAAGTCCCATACTCTCCTGGGTGTAGCATTGCCATTTCAGTCTCTTACAAAAATCTAGGTGCAGAATTACTCACATCCTGGGCTCTTCCCAGAGGGGTTGCTGCACCCAGCCTTCCAGCTGGGAAAAGTGGGGGTGCCTGACCTCCTTGCTCTCTCCTTCAGAACAGTTCTAAGGGTTCTTCCCGCCATGGGCAGTTTCACTGCCGTGCTTATCAGTAGGCTCGAGCATTTTCGTGTTGCATTTATCAATCAGTGGATTCCTTTCCTGAGCCCCCTGGGGCCACATCTACCTCCAGAGTTCAAGTTGTCCTAGAATTAAGAAAATAGATGGAGCCAAGGGAAGGAAAGGCAGATGGAGGTGAGTTCTGGGGCCATTCCCAGGCCATCCCCTTCCCACCAGTGCAGAGCTCCTGCAAGTGGCCCCCTCTGCTGTGGGACAACTTACTCTAGCCCTGACTGTCTTCCACC